TCTTTCCCTCATGCCTCCCTGAATGTGTAAATGAGATGACTAAGAAGCAATTTTTAGGGAGATTATATTTGTTCTAACCAAATTTTCCCTAATGTTTTGACTTTGATTTATTTAGATCTAACATCGTGATTACAGAAATCATCTCGGCTCAAATTTCTGTGCTAAATTTATTATTTATCTTTGAATTCAACACATGAGGAATGGTTAGTTCAATATAAGGAGACCCAATTAATGCCATGGGTCCAATCTGCCAAGTTTCACAGGTTTTTAGACCATAACACCTAGGAAGCCTAATTAACAACCATAGATTGCCTCCCCAAAAGTATCTCAAATAAAATAAAGTGGATGTATAAGTCAAAGATGCGCCATGCTTTCAAGTTACCATTGAATCAGCAAAGGTTTATCAAATCAATTTTCCACAATAGCTTGCAATTCAAAAAAACCAGAGATGATCAACAACAGCTATGAGGCATAGAATGATTATCACTTGTCTAGAAGTTATGCCCCAACTCAAAAAAACATGTTGATACGTAAGATGTTTAATTAGAAGGTTAGGTTTTTAATTGATGAGCATGTGACATTCTCACCCAAGTTAATTATGGGATAGATCTTACATTCATGGGAATGCTGAAGTTTTTTACTTAATGAGTTTCTTGACTTTGCCTCAACCGAATTAATTAGGATAGGGGCTTGCATTCATTGGAAGTACAATTAAAAGTCATTTAGGTTCTTGATTTGTGTTTTACTTTTAGAATTTAACTTTAAATTAAATCTGGAACTTATTGCTCAATTTGAGTGTTTATAAAGGTGACTTACAATCCAAGCGTTTATCATGCGCAAAGGTGGTAGTGGGCAATATAACCTTGCCCAATGCACAAGGCATCTTGATGACAAATAGCCTAGAAAAATTATTTCCAAGGAGCTTAGATAAATTCACCTCTTTTGTTGTCTAACATGCAAGTTTTAAAACCTTGCCCAATGCACGAGGCAGCTTGATGACAATTAGCCAAGTAAAATTATTTGCAACGAGCACAGAACATTTCATCTCTTTTGCTCTTTAACATGCAAGTTTTATTTAGCTTTAAAAAACATTTTTATTAATTCAAAAATGGAACATCTAACAGTTGCGCATAAGGAAGTGTTAGAGAATGTTTACTGTACCCATTATATTTGTCAACATGTGATGCACATATTCAATTCTATATTATTTCTTCATACCAAGCTTTGAAGAAAGTCTGATGAGAATTCCCGAGTCAAAATGGTATCAATATTTTTTGTCGAGCCATTCTACAAATCAAAGATGCATTCATGAGCCATCCTTATTTCGCTCTCGTCAGATTTACTCTAAAGCAATGCTATCAAAGCATAAAATGCCATGCAATGCGCAAGGCAAAGGCGCTTTTATTAATCAAAATGCTAATAAATTATATAAACAATTGATATAAATACATTCACGAATAATAATAAAACAGAAAATCTGCGTTAAAAGTTGATTTAAATTATAAAAGAATGATCTACAATACCTAATTTGAGGACAAGCATTGAGGGTGAATACTGCAAATTAATGCTCATAATTTCACTAAAGAATTCTCTTCCAAGAAATAAATAAATAAATAAAAATTAAGAAAAAGAATTATATTTCTTTTAAGAAGATTTATGCATATACCACTTAATTCAGTACTTATCCAAGCTATTTGTCTTTAAGAAAAATATATACATAATCAATTCAAGCAATTCAAACTGAATTAGTTGCCTAGGAACGGTATTATATCTTCTAAAAACTTGAGTGACATGCATTTAAATGACACATATTAGCCTACATAAGCAACACTAGTCTATATGCCCTCTTCAATGACACATTCACCTTCATCTAGAAAAAACATAATTTCTAAAGATACATTAAGATATAGAACAATAACTTAAAATATTTAATATCATCCATTAAAATTATTGTATTTCCACCACTATATCATAAATTAGTCTTAGAATGTATTATAGGCTAGTCTAAATAAAAAATAAAAATTAGTATGTAAAAATACTAAATCTTCACTCCATTGAGAAGTGATCTTATTCCTTGAGTGAATTAATAAAATAATATGTACTTCAATTTCTCTCGTAATAAGAAAATGAATATGATTGAGCTAACAATTTAGAAGCTAAAGGGTTGTTCGGATCACTTTTTGTTTCCATATTTTTTTAATAGAAAATAAAACAAAAATATGTTTTTTTGTTGTAATTGAATCTGATTTTTATTTGTTCTTAAACAAAAGTGTTTTTTGTTTAAAAAAAAACAAAATTGGAAACGTCTGTTTTTTGTATTTGCAGAACACTCCAACCATCGCAATCTCAACCCCAACACCGATGTCATTCCCGACCCCAACCTCAACCTCGAGTCCTTTAATGCCGACATTGATGCCTTATTTTCCCCACCAACAACGTCAATGCTTGTCAACTCCTCTGCCCTCATTTTCCCCTCAGTCGTCCTCCTAGGATCATCTAATGAAGCTCTCATTTTTTTCTCTAGAAAATCTCAATCTCCTTCTTCATTCCTCATGCCTTTGTCCTCTCTCGATTCTAGTGTGGTAACCCAATCGTAGGCAACCTCCCACTACCAAACAATCTCTCCCTCTCTGCTTCCATCCTCTCACGTAACATAACACTTCCCATCTACTTACGTTGTTGCACTTTACCAAGGCAAACTCCTCCCAGTCGCTGCCTTACCTCTAACAATCTCCACAAAACCTTCTCCACCCACTAAACAGGCCCCCATCTTCTTTCCTATTTCTGCCCTCTCATTTTTTCCTGCTCTCTCAAACCAAACTCAACCTTAAGACGTAGAAACCATCACGATTATAT